AAGCCAAGGCCAGCAGCTTCCCAGGCCATGCTTAGGCCAAGGCAGCCTAGCCAAAGCCAGCAGCATACCATGCCAAGCGAAGGCCAGCAGCTTGCCATGCCATGCCTAGGCCAAGGCAGCCTAGCCAAAGCCAGCAGCATACCATGCCAACGCCAGGGCCAGCAGCATGCCATGCCAAGGCTAAGGCAGCTTATCCAAAGACAGCAGCAAGGCATGCCAAGCCAAGGCCATGCGACGCTAAGGCCAAGGCAGCCCAACCATGGCCAGCAGCATGCCAAGCCATGCCAAGGCCAGAAGCTTGCCATGACATGCCTGGGCCAACGCATCTAAGCCAAAGCAAGCAGCATGCCATGCCAAGGCCAAGGCTAGCCGCATGCCATGCCAAAGGCAAGGTAGCCCACCCAAAGCCAGTAGCATGCAATGCCAAGCCAAGGCTAGCAGCTTGCCATGCCATGCCTAGGCCAAGGCAGCCAAGCCAAAGCCAGCAGAATTCCATGCCAAGGCAAAGGCCAGCAACATGCCAGGCCAAGGCCAAGGCAGCCATCCAAAGCCAGCAGCATGCCATGCCAAGCGAAGGCCAGCAGCTTGCCAGGCCATGTCTAGGCCAAGGCAGCCAACCCAAAGCCAGCTGCGTGCCATGCCAAGGCCAAGCCAGGCCAGCCAAAGCCGGCAGCATGTCATGCCAAAGCCAAGGCCAGCAGCATGCCATGCCAAGGCCAAGGCAGCCTAGCAAAAGCCAGCAGCAGGGCATGCCAAGCCAAGCCAAGCAGCTTGCCATGCCATGGCTATTCCAAGGCAGCGTAGCCAAAGCCAGCAGCATGCCATGCCAAGGCCAAGGTAGCCTAGCCAAAGCCAGCAGCATGCCATACCAAGGCCATGGCCGGCAGCATGCCATGCAGTGCCAAGGCCAAGGCAGCCCAGCCAAAGCCAGCAGCATTCCATGCCCAGCCAAGGCCATCAGCTTTCCATGCCATGCCTAGGCCAAGGCAGCCTAGCAAACGCCAGCAGCATGCCATGTCAAGGCCAAGGCCAGCAGCTTGGCATACCAAGGCCAAGGCAGCCCAGCCAAAGCCAGCAGCATGCCATGCAAAGCCAAGGCCAGCAGCTTGCCATGCCATGCCTAGGCCAAGGAAGCCTAGTCCAAGCCAGCAGTATGCCTTGCCATGGCCAAGGTCAGTAGCATGCCATGCCATGGCCAAGGCATCCCAGCCAAAGCCAGCAGCATGCCATGCTAAGCCAAGGCCAGCAGCTTGCCATTCCATGCCTAGGCCAAGGAAGCCTAGCCAAAGCTAGCAGCATGCCATGCCAAGGCCAAGGCCAGCAGCATGCCATGCGAAGGTCAAGGCAGCCCAGCCAAAGCCAGCAGCTTGCCATGTCATGCGTAGGCCGAGGCAGCCTAGCCAAAGCCAGCAGCATGGCATGCCATGACCAAGGCCAGCTGCATGCCATGCCAAGGCCAAGGCAGCCTAGCCAAAACCAGCAGCATGCCATGCCAAGCCAACGCTAGCAGCATGCCATGCCATGCCAAGGCCATGGCAGCCCAGCCAAAGCCAGCAGCATGCCATGCCAAGCAAAGGCCAGCAGCTTGCCATGCTATGCCTAGGCCAAGGCAGTCTAACCAAAGCCAGCAGCATGCCATGCCAATGCTAAGGCCAGCAGCATGCCATGCCAAGCCAAGGCCAGCAACTTGTCATGTGATGTCTTGGCCAAGGCAGCCTAACCGAAGCCAGCCGCATGCCAGGCCAAGGCCAAGGCCAGCAGCATGCCATGCCAAGGCCAAGGCTGCCAAACAATGGCCAGCAGCTTGTCATGACAAACCAAGGCCAACAGCTTGCCATGCCATGCGTAGGCCAAGGTAGCCTAGCCAAAGCCAGCCGTATGCCACGCGAAGGCCAAGGCCAGCAGCATGCCATGCGAAGGCCAAGGCAGCCTAGCCATAGCCCGCAGCATGCCATGCCAAGGCCAACGCCAACAATGTGCCATGCCAAGGTCAAGGCAGCCCAGCCAAACTAGCAGCATGCCATGACAAGCCAAGGTCAACAGCTTTCCATGCGATGCCTAGGCCAAGGCAGCCTAGCCTAGGCCAAGGAACCCTAGCCAAAGCCAGCAGCATACCATGCCATGGCCAAGGCCAACAGCATGCCATGCCGAGGCCAGGTAGACTAGCCAAAGCCAGCAGCATTGCATGACAAGCCAAGGCCAGCCGCTTGCCATGCCATGTCTAGGCCAGGACAGCCTAGCCAAAGCCGGCAGCACGCCATGCCAAGGCTAAGGCAACCCAGCTAAAGCCAAAGCCAGCTGCATACCATGGCAAGGCCAAGGCAGCCCAGCCGAAGATGGCAGCATGCCATGCCAAGCCCAAGGCTAGCAGCACGCCACGCCAAGGCCAAGGTAGCCTAGCCAAAGCCAGCAGCATGCCATGCCAAGCCAAGGCCAGCAGCTTGCCATGCCCTGCCTATTCCAAGGAAGCCTAGCCAAAGCCCGCAGCGTGCCATTGCAAGACCGAGGCTAGCAGCATGCCATGCCAAGGCCAGGGCAGCCTAGCCAAAGCCAGCAACATGCCATGCCAAGGCCAAGGCCAGCAGCATGCCATGCCATGCCAAGGCCAAGGCCAGCAGCATGCCATGCCATGCCAAGGCCAAGGCAGCCCAGCCAAAGGTAGCAGCATGCCACGCCACGCCAAGGCCAGATGCTTGCCATGACATGCCCAGGCCAAGGTAGCCAAGCCAAAGCCAGCAGCATGCCATGCCACGGCCAGGGCCAGCAGCATGCCATTCCAAGGCCAAGGTAGCCCAGACAAAGCGAGCAGTATGCCATGCGAAGCGAAGGCCAGCAGCTTGCCATGCCATGCCTAGGCCAAGGCAGCATAGCCAAAGCCAGCAGCTTGCCATGCCAGGGCCAAGGCAGCCCAGCCAACGCCAGCGGCATGCCATGCCAAGCCAAGGCCAGCAGCTTGCCATGCCATGGCTAGGCCAAGGCAGCCTAGCCAAGGCCAACAACATGCCATGCCAAGGCCAAGGCCAGCAGCATGCCATGCCAATGCCATGGCAGCCTAGCCAAAGCCAGCCGCATGCCATGCCAAGGCCAAGGCCAAGGCCAGCAGCAAGCCATGCCATGCCAAGGCCAACGCAGCCCAGCCAATGCCAGCAAAATGCCTTGCCATGCCAAGGCCAGGGCCAGCAGCTTGCCATACCAAGACCGAGGCAGCCCAGCCAAAGCCAGCAGCATTCCATGCCAAGCCAAGGCCAGCAGCTTGCCACGCCATGCCTAGGCCAAGGATGCCTTGTCAAAGCCACCAGCATGCCATGCTAAGGCCAAGGCCAGCAGCATGCCAGGCCATGGCCATGGCATCCCAGCCAAAGCCAGCAGCATGCCATGCCAAGCAAAGGCCAACAGCTTGCCATTCCATGCCTAGGCCAACGCAGCCTGGCCAAAGCCAGCAGCACGCCATGCCATGGCCAAGGACAGCAGCGTGCCATGCCAAGGCCAAGGCAGCCCAGCGAAAGCCAGCAGCATGCGATGCCAAGCCAAGGCCAGCAGCTTGCCATGCCATGCCTAGGCTAAGGCAGCCTAGCCAAAGCCAATAGCATGGCATGCCATGGTCAAGGCCAGCAGCATGCCATGCCAAGGCAAAGGCAGCCTAGCCAAAGCTAGCAGCGTGCCATGCCAAGCGAAGGCTAGCAACATGCCATGCCATGCCAATGCCATGACAGCCCAGCCAAAGCCAACAGCATGCCATGCCAAGCAAAGCCCAGCATCTTGCCATGCCATGCCTAGGCCAAGGCAGCCTAACCAAAGCCAGCAGCATGCCATGCCAAGGCCAAGGCCAGCCAAGGCTGCCAAACCAAGGCCAGCAGCTTGCCATGCCCTGCCTATTCGAAGGCAGCCTAGCCAAAGCCAACAGCGTGCCATGCCAAGGCCAAGGCGAGCAGCATGCCATGCCAAGGCCAGGGCAGCCTAGCCAAAGCCAGCAGCATGCCATGCCAAGGCCAAGGCTGGCAGCATGCCATGCCATGCCAAGGCCAAGGCAGCCCAGCCAAAGCTAGCAGCATGCCATGCCACACCAAGGCTAGAAGCTTGCCATGACTTGCCTAGGCCAAGGTAGCCAAGCCAAAGCCAGCAGCATGCCATGCCAAGGCCAAGGCCAGCAGCATGGCATACCAAGGCCAAGGTAGCCCAGCCAAAGCCAGCAGCATGCCATCTGAAGCGAAGGGCAGCAGCTTGCCATGCCATGCCTTGGCCAAGGCAGCATAGCCAAAGCCAGCAGCTTGCCATGCCAAGGCCAAGGCCAGCAGCTTGCCATGCCAGGGCCAAGGCAGCCCATCCAAAGCCAGCAGCATGCCATGCCAAGCCAAGGCCAGCAGCTTGCCATGCCATGCCTAGGTCAAGGCAGCCTAGCCAAAGCCAACAACATTCCATGCCAAAGCCAAGGCCAGCAACATGCCATGCCAAGGCCAGGGCAGCCTATCGAAGGCCAGCAGCATGCCATGCCAAAGCCCAGGCCAAGGCCAGCAGCATGCCATGCCAAAAAGAAGAGAAGCCAAGCATCCGAACGCTTACCAGCCTAGCACCATCCAGCCTTCATGCTCCTCGACCCGATAAACCATTCGTGTTAGACCGAAGAACGCCCCTTCAGAAAAGAAGCCCCTCAGCTGCCTATTCCCAGCTCTGAGAAACCCAAAAGCCTCCCCCCCCCCTGCCCCCCAATCCTTCTCGGCCAAGCACTCAATAGCCCTGTACCCCGGCTCGCCCACATTGCCGACCAATCCCCCCTGATGCTAGAAACGCATCCGGATAGGACCTCTACCTCGCCGGCTAAGCCAACGCCTAGCAAACCCCTTCCCGTCGACATCCAATAAAGGAACCAGACTATAGCACATTCACAAATGTCCGAACTGAATAACACTCGCGCCTAACGCATGGACCACTGAAGTTCACTCCACGTAACACATAAACACATAAGCACTTACGAATCATCCGGATAATGACAATCCCGAGCACTACAGAGTTCCGTAGAAAACACATTGATCAAAGTCTTTCCCAACAAGACCACAGAACCCAAGGAATCCAATCAACATCCTAGAAACTACATCCAACACCCACATAGTCACATAACATGTAACAATAAGCCTAGCTATGACACTACACCTAAGTCTCTATCAACGAGAACAAACCCATTAGATACCAACACTTCCCACACCCTCCAAGTACGAACCCGTACGCTCTGAATCAAGCTTGTAACGCACTCAAATAATAACATAACCCATCAATATAAGACAACATGACAAAAAAAAAACGTTCTTCCTATTCGATTCAGTAGTGTCTTACAAAATATTACATGTTAAACAACAAAAGCAAATGCCCCTACGGGCTTACAGCTTTCCATAGTTAAACAAACTTGTTACAACAAAAGAGATCCAAACTCCATACACTTTAAAGCCCTTGCTTGAATTACATGTAATACATCAAAAAAAACGACAAAAGTGCTTGTCCGCTCTCAGCCTCCCAAGCTATGTCCTTGAGGTGGCATGCTACCTGCACCAAAAATGATAATTCCCATATAGGGTGAAAACCACGAGCCCAGTAGAAATACACTAAACCAACCATGAACAATGACTAAAAGATACGCTATTGATAGAGTGGCCAACACTGAACACATCCACATAAAATCAACCATTTTTATTCAATAGGACTAATTGAGTCAAGTACTTTCATTTCCCCTTTTACCAAACAGACAGCATCATTAGCTCCATCATCATTCAACAATATTATATAAACTATAGTCCCACATTTCACAGATAAGCATATAACTACATCCACATTTCAAACGATAAGCATTATAGCCCTATCTTCACTTCTTACAAGCATATGAGCTATATCACATTTCTCAAAAATAACAATTAGCCTATCTTCACTTCTCTAACAGCATATGAGCCTATCACATTTCTCAAAGGATAACAATGAGTCTACCATTTCTCAGACAAGCAATAGCTGTATCATACGGAGTTCAGCCCCCCCTCCTCCCGAAAAGTCTAGCCGGTTAGAGGTACACCCCCATCTCCCCTAAACCGCGAGTAACATCCCCCATCTCCTCCCTACCACAACAATGCATATAAACACAAGGGTCCATACACAACAATCAACACATAAATTTAATGTATTCAATCCACACGTCATAGACTCCAGCACATCAAATCATAGTTTTAGTTGTCCTAATCATCAACATTGTCTACAACAATCACGACTATCCCCCACCGAAGCCCAACGTACAGTTATTCAAACAGAAATAAATCACAAATGGACGTATTCAAATCAAACATCACTTCAGGAGTGATAAATAATTCAACTACACCCTTAACCCCATGCATCCAATCTCAACCATCATTTCACACCTCATTTCCACAATAATTTACCCAATTAAATCAACATGTAATGAGTCTTCCATAATTAACTACAACCCAAGTCCATTTCACAATGACAACATTATCCATTCCTACCAAACAGCACCTAA